ACCTATGTATGGCGACTGTCTAGCAGCAAATTGTAGCTTCCAATGTTTTTGTTGTTGCTTGTTTTTATTATTTTTCAAGTCAATGCGCACAGCACTGATAAATAAAAATTCAAATCAGCATTTATGTGTATTATCGCCAGCCATAAAAACTGTTCTATATTTTTATTTTATAAATAAGTAGAAACGCACACAAGTACCACCATCTATGCAAATGCATTGGTAAATATGCTAAGTATGTATGTATATACAAATATACAAACTAATGTGCCGTTATTTTTGTTCTAAATAAGATTGTTCGATTAGGTGAAGGTGATTGCCCCAAACAGCGGCACACTTGGACCATAAACATGGGTCCTTTATGAGACCACTTACTACTGCCAGGCCATAGCGAAAAGCGCCGTGTGTCAAGAACGAAGTTTCGCAGGCGGGTGTGAGCTGAGAAGCTCCAGAGAAAGTGTTGGCATGACTATACCTCGTCGTCTAATAAGCAACTATATAATAAGTAATATATTTATTTTATTCTGTCCGCGTAAAAACTCGTGGAAAAATATCCTGTCAATACAGCCACCAGAATAAAAGTTGCAGCTTTGTGAGCTAAATATGATTTCTTGACGGACTTCGGTCCACCTTCGGCCACTACCACCGGGTGGAAGCACATATCTTGGTTTTCGGGCAGTATTCGCTAAACTGATACTAATCCCATCTGTCCTTTCTATTTTCTCGGTGAAACCGCCCGCGGGTGCCTCTTCATATATTATTGATTACCGATTAAATATCGGTATGGAAAAGATTTGCGTTAACCCAGCCAAAAATTGGTAACTGCTTCTTGTGTATTAATATATTCGGGGTGCTTGTAATGTCTTATTCAATACTTCAACAGAAATGATTTGTTATTTTCACACACATTTGCATCTAAGTACATACATATCGTCGTTTAAAGTACAAAAGCGCGTATGTGAGGTTGCATAAATTATTTTCTAGAGAGTAAAAACACTCATATTTCAAAATGGTTCTCATTTTTATGAAGTAATCTCATTTCTGGTTAGTATATTTCAGGGCGAATTGGTAAGGATTGAGCCAAGAGCTTGTGTGAGCAAATGCAATTTTTGGCAGCAAATGTTAGTTACGCGGTTTTGCAGAATGACGATACGCAGTTTTGTATTTCCGCCAAATAATATTAAGATTTTTCTGAGCTAGGTCTTAAATTATAATAAGCTTTGTATATCCGATGAAAAAAAACAGGACTACTTTTTTTGTATGGAGGCTGATGCAACCTAATGTACATACAAATGTATGTCTTAATTTCAATGTTTTAATAGGGTCACAGAACTTTCGCATTACATTCTTAAAATATTCTTAGACAAAAAAAAATTAAATATTTAGAGGTTAATATGAAATTCTTGAAAATCAATATATTTCAGGACCTATAAAGTATGGTAAGTTTTAAAAAATGGTAAACTCTCTGAAGAGAAACAGAGTTTTCCGATAGAAAAACATTGATTTTCAAGAATTCTATAGCAATTCCATGAAAAATAGTTTTTTTCCCCCATATAAAATACATTCATGGAAAACTTCGAGTGACCTCTAAATATTGTTTGACTTCGAAATAAAAAAGCAGGGGTATATTTTATCGATATAGAACTAGCATAGGTTGAGAGAGCATTAAAATTCGCACTTTATTTTTTAACATGCATTTTGGGCCACCCTAATATGTGTACATATGTACATTCGCGTAAATTCTAAATAAATTTCTGAAATATGTATTCCTCGTGACTACTCTAGTTTAACCGATTTCAAAAAAGGAAAATGTTATTAATTCGTCGGAATATTTTTTTTTAACGGTACACCTAAATTTTTAAATTTTTATGTGGGAATTGAGGTCGTTTGTGTTTTTAAACGACTTCAAGAAAAAGGAGAAGGTTATCAATTTGTCGAAATTTTGCTTGTTTGTTTTTTTTTATGTATGTTTCCGCATAACTTTGTACCACGTTAACCGATTTATAAAATTTCTATAAGGTGGTACTTCCGAGGTGGTCCCATACTAATTTGGATCATGAATTTTTATGTGAGAATTGAAGTCGGTTTAGATTTTTGCTTAAGAATTACTTGTTTATAATATACGGTTACCTTAATTCACAAAGGCCCTAACAAATAAATTTTTTATTTTACAGAAGAATCAAAAGACATTATAAAAAGGTTATCGCCGATCTAAACAGAATTAGGTCGCCGAAACAAAAGCCCTTGGTCGGGTAATACCCGAGTCATTCCGGTACGTAGAACCGGTTTTCGTGGGAGTGCCCTGGCTCAGTTACGGTCTGGATATTGTAGCCGCCACCTCAACCTCAACTGAAACCATTCTCTCTTTGGTCCGATCCTTTTGAAACAGCCCGTTTCCTGGGCCTACCGTTAGTTGAGCCTGACGACAATGATTGAAGGTTGAACCGAAATAGGCGGGGCTTAGTAGTGTCGCTACAATAACAACAACAACAACATTGTAAAAAGAATATTAAAAAAACAGGTGGGGCTATGTACAAAGTGGCATGTAACTCTTTTGTTTTTGGTACAAACACTTTAAAATTTTTCTCGAAAGTGTACTTTATTATACCTTACCAAAATCTGTGGAAAACGCAGTTTCGAAAAAAAGTTTTGGTTAGGGCCTTTGTGAATTACGGTGACGATATGTAGCATATAAAATATGTGTGTACATTAGAGTGGTCCTATTTTGTATGGGGGAAAAAATTTCATCCTAGAAAACGGGGCATCCTTATTGTTTTCCTTTTGATATTTGTAATATCTATACAAACTTTCAATTTTCTACTGCAACCAATACAGGGTGCTCAGTGACCTTGAAATGCGCTACTGGATCGCTGTGAAACTTGCAAAAATATTGGTGATTTTTATAAAAAGCTACCGTTGCCATGACAACTGAATCTTGTGATATTTTAATAGATAATTTAAATTAGAAATTGTCTTAGGTTACTTAACCAATTGTTTGATTAATACACATATGTATGTACACAATACTTCCAGAGTAAAATATGTGCATCATGAGCATTCTCTTAATTTATACTTAGAAACGTAATGTTTGATACTAGCACGTCTTTAGGCAAGAGGACAAATTTTGGAAGGCGCCGCAACCCCTATCTCACATACATATACATACATATATATATACAGCATTTATTATTTCATAAACAAATTATTCGTTAACAATTATGAATCTGATGCAATATTTATTGGGAAAAAGTATGATTATTTTCTATGAACAAATATGTACTTATATAAATTATTAAAATCACACTGATAAGGATTGTACCACATGGACAAAAGTCCAAACACTGCTAGACATATGCGTCAAAAATAATCACTAATTAAATATACAAAATAAATACATATATACCTATGCTAGCGATATGCTGAATAATATATAAACATATGTATATACATTAGAGGGCTGCATGAATTCATTCAAACTTCTAGCCAAACAGAGTACAGTAGATTTGAATATTTTACTTCACATACAAAACACTCAGCGTTTGGAATTTTGTATGTTACGAATATACATTTTGTTTTATACTTTCTACCTTCAAATGGAAGAATGTGAATGAATGAATAGAAAACATTCAAATCACTTAAACTCATTTCGGTAAACGTTTTTTTCTACAAACAAGTTTTTTCGTATATAATAGGAGCGCAGCAATACATACATACATACATATGTGCATAGAAAAAAAAAATTTAGATATCTATACTATAATAAAACTGTAGATTGGTTTTCTGTTTGAACTCACTAATCTCCGGAATTACTGAATGGATTTTCATGGGGCTTTAACTGGTATATAAAGAGTGACTTCGGACGTAACCTAGGGTATTAAAAAATGAAACCTGACAAAGGGCGATGCACCTCCCATAGGCGTGAAATTTTTAATCAACCATAACTTCGGAACCATACGTCACATGAATTTGAAATTCTGCTCTGCATCGCAAAAAATTGCGCCGGAGTCGAGATATTTAGAGACCCCATCTTTATCGTATGACCAGGAGTAACGGGTATTAACTTTATGATAAAAAGAAATCGGTAGGAATATCAATGATTAAGAAGAATACGGTGGGAATATCAATGACCCCGTTTGAACGGGTAAACTTTCATCCTCGGAACAGCAGGATTATAGAAGATTACGCATTCTTAGCAAACCTTGCAATACGTACAGATATCTCACAGGTGAAAATAAGAGCTCATAACATCGAAGAAGATTAGTACTTAACACAAATGCTATCTCAGCGCTATTATTCTTGGCCTATGAGTAAGCAAGGTTCTGATCTTTAGTCCTTTCAACCTAAACTAATGAATTTTACATTACAAACCGTTTTTGCATAGCAACCCTATTTTTGTATTGGTCAACGTAAAAGTTCTTATAAGGCGTCGCGAAGCAAGCCAGGCATTTGCTAGTTCATACAAAAAATTGTCATTTATTTCAATTTAATTTATTTTTCTTTGTTTGAATAGTGTACTGTCGACCCAAATATCAGAAAAGTTATTCACTCAAATTCAAAAAAATTTTAAGCCAAAATCATTCATTCGTTTTGTATATGAATAATTCATAAGCCCTTTTGAATGCATTCATGCAGCCCTCTAATATACATATGAATGCATGTATACTCCTACATACCCATGGGTGCGAAAGATTTAATCAAACTCAAACCGCTCTAATCCAAAAGCGGACTGCCGAAGAGATAACCTTTGGCTATGCATTGCAGGTGGCGCCAGATTTTAACTTTGCACATGTTTCTTGGCAAAACGACATCTGGGGTGGCATACGAAATATATGTATGTACGTATATACATATATGCATTAACGAGACATGCATTAAAATGTGTATACGGAAATGTACTAGCGATTAGGCATTTTATAGTATGTGCGATTAAGAAAAGGTCAATATCCTTAACTGATGTACATATATAGTAGCTAGCAATTAGTAAATAGCGGTTGTATTTTAAATTAAATCGTTTTTTATTCATTTCGAATGTAATCATCAAGCTTAAAAATTAATAAAATCATATTCATACATACATACATATATTAATATTTAGTTATTATTTCCCAAATTATCAATACATTTCCTGATTCGTAAAATATCTTCAGGATAAACACGACAACAACCTCCAATTATTCTTGCGCCAAGCTCAATCCACTGAGGTACATAGGAATCCAGTGGTATGCAATCATCGCGTTCCGTCCATTCTCCTTGCTTTTCATCGTAGATCTCACCACGATTGCTATACACAACAAGAGGTATGTACTCAGCTCCGGCCAATATGTTAAGGGATTTAAAGAGCGGTTTAACAAACTGAAACAATTAAGTTGGATTTAATAGATAATTAATAATGCAAAGTTTAATTCTGCCCTAACTTTATGACACACTTTTATATCATTATCAGTCGGCCCTTTGCAGATTTGTGACAGTTCTTATATAAATATTTTTTTTTTCTGATATTTGAACCCATCTGTGGCTTTACTAACGAGCCTTGCAGTATATCTTAAAATGGTTCCAGGTATACACCCTGTGAACATTGTAGAATTGTAGGTAAATGCTTCCAGGGGTATGCGTCATAAAATTTTTAGTTTATGTCGAAGTGGAATGGTTTGATTTCATATACATATCTCCATACCAAGTTTTATGGTGCCCCGGCCCCTTGCCAATAACCCCAATTATTCACCATTAGTATGCCATTGATTTCATATAGCTCCATAACAAGTTCCAGGACTCTTCCATTAACACTTCCAGAGATATGCGTATGAAAAGTTCGGTTTGTATGGGAGGTGACACGACCCGGTTTTCATTAACTCCAACTTTTTTCCATGAGTGTGTGATTGATTTCATATACATATCTCCATAATAAGTTTCAGCACTCTACCATGATTTGCAGTATGAAAAATTCAGTTTTATGGGAAGTGACACGCCCCATTTTCTTATAACCAAAATTTTTCTCCACGAGTATGCGTTTGTTTTCATATATCTAGATACCAAGATCCAGTACTCTACCAATAACACTTCCAGAGATATGCAATATAAAGATTCGATTTGTATGGAAGGTGCCACGCCTCCTTTATATATCGATTTTTAAGTTAACAACCGTCCTTGTAAAGTCTACAGTAGGTCTCCGAAATTTCAAAAAAAAAAACGGTACAGGCGTTCTTGAGCTTTGCGATTACAAGAAAACGGCTTCCAAAATATATGTCTACGCAAAACTCCTTCAATCCAGAACATCAACGTTTTTTACAATTACATCAGAGCCATCAATGATAACATATAATCCACGTTTTTACATTACCGACACAGCCAATTGCCCTAGCAGTAGCGCTGTAATATATTACGAAATATATCGATGGTCGTCTGCAATAACGACACAAATCAAAATTCAAAAAATAAAAACTCTTACTACTTTTAAGTGGCTCATGTCTCTTGTCCTTGTCTAATTCATGTCGAATCCTTAATAAACTACGCAGTAAAGACTACTAAAGTGAGTGGTGAGGATTAGGGAGGGATGAGACAAGGATTGGAGACATGAGCCACTTAATAGTAAGGGTTTTTATTTTTTGAAATTTGAATTGTGTCGTTATTGCAGAGGACCTTCGATATATAGATAACATTAATATAACCGTTGAAAGTCAAGTCTCAGATGGGTTCTAACATCAGAAACTGGTTTTTGTGAACATTTCATATATAGGGTATTAACATACATAAACCCTTGATATATTAATTAAGCATATCCTTTTCAAGTATGTTAAAATGTCAAAGGTGTATCAAACATTAGAAGCAGCTTTTTATAAGGAGAACTTTTACATTCAGACATATAAGTACTAGTCAAAGATTGTCATTGCCTGCTAATATTTTGCCACACGTTAAACATTCACCAATGTAGGTCAATTTAGATAAAGAACAATGTTTCATTACCATTGGATTTAAACAATTTACGCCTACAGCAATCAGTCGTTCAACAGCATTTGCATTCTTCACTTTATTCCATATTGAATAGGCGGCATTTGAAAAGAGCTCACCATGCGCCAAAGTTTCAGCATCCTATAAATAAAAAGCTATTGCAAAAATCTTCCATCAATTGACCATAATCCACTACTCACCTTACATTGAAATGAAACCCAAAATTTCACATTTGGATAATCGTTTAGCAACATGTCGACAACCGCTTCAGCTTCCATCTGTATAAAAAAAAAAAAGAAAATGAAGTTGTAGTTATTTACGTCCCAACAAACAATGACAGCATAAGCACCTGACATGGTATTGTTTCTATGGCTAAGCCATCGACACCCTCTGCCAGGCAGGCATCAATTCTTGGGCGATGCCAATTTTGTATATCCTCGCTTGAGACACGTTTCGAATAACTGCCTTTATATTCGGAGCAATCATGCAAGTGTGCACCATATGGACCGATTGAAGCCATAATAAGCGGTAGGCCAGCCTCCTGAGTACCATTAGCTTTCTCAACCATTTCGAAATATTTCATTTTAGCCTCTTTGGCTAGCTGTACGCTTTTACGCATCAATTGTATGCTTTCCTCTCGACTCAGCGATAAATGTTCCATGAAACCTTCAATGCTGGATTGATAAGTATTAGAGAGTATAATTTGTGCGCCATCTATTCAGGGGGAATTGATAAGTGCAGCTCATTATGTGAAATCGTTAATAATCTTCTTGCAACAACTTACTCTGCAGAAAATCCAAATGTGTTTGTACCACCGCTGTTGGATTCTTCTGATCAAAACGTGAGCCCCACAATGGATCTCCATCGATTTTCTCTTGCACATGACGGGCAAGTTGCGTTGAAAAGCCACCACATTTAACCAAAATCTGTTGTGTCGGTAGCATTATGGAAAACGTTGAGCAATCTTCTGTGTAGAATGTCAATTGCCGAATAAAAAATCAGCGACCGGCAAAGTTACGCAGTGTGTGGCACAGGATGTCAATATCCATACAGCGAGTAAAAGTGTATGCAATTATGCAGATCAATGAAAACAAAGAAGAAAATATAAATTATATACATATATCTACATACATACATATGTAGTTCCAATTATATACAGGTAAAAATGAAATACATACTCGTACTTCACAAAGAAAACAATGGATGCTCTGATGCGTCCGCTTACCTGCATTCACGTGTGATAGGGCGAGTAGGCGAATGAATAATGCAAAGACGAAAAGCAAGCAGGGTTTCCTTTAACGCAAAACCACAAACAAATCTTAAGTACCTACAACGTTGTTCTTCTTATTGCAATTGTTAACCACTCGCTGTTTTCAATCAGATAAGTTCACGTTTGGTTTATGCTTTCGCGTAGATTAAGTCAAAACACAAGAATAACCAGCACTTATTCGCTAAAATATAGCTCTGCAAGTAAATTTCCAACTTTCTTAAACGATCAAATCAACGAAGACCTTGCTAATCTTTCTCCAAACGCAGTTCGCTAAGTACTGTACCTAAATTTTTCAGTTTAATTTTCACATTAACCTTCTTGCATACGTGCAATATTCAATAATAATAATCTTTATGTTTTCGTTTTGCACATGTATCCACCACTTATTGCTAAATGCAACGAACGTCATAAATGATCAATTTCTGAACATGCGAAGATAAGTCCAAACAACAACAAAACGCCTTGAAAACAGCTGATTTCTTTTTATATCTTTCTTTTGTTGTTTACTTTTACCGCTCTTGTTTTTTTCTTGCGCTTTCCGATAAGAAAATGCACAAAGCGAAAAACGGAAAAGCTAAATATTCAAATTGAAACGGAAATATACGCTTCAAATAGAGCTGGGAGTTTTATCCGGATTTGTATAACAACCGGATAAACGGTTATTCGAATATATGATTGAAAAATCTGAGTTTCTGGATGATTAAATAAAAGGTTAATGAGCGGATAAGCGGATTTTCTAATTTAATTATAACAATTATTTGTGTGTTAATGAAAAGTTCCATTGCGTGCGGCATATTCATAGTCGAAATAAAGTCGACTTAAAATTTAGTTGAAACTTTTTTGACAGATATTCCGTTGAAAATTATGTCCCAAAGCTGCAACTAACTTGAGTGCTGACTTTATTTTGGCTATCAATGTACCTCATTATTTACTTTTCAACTCAATTCATTCGGTAGTTTTGAGACAATTTTACGAATTAAATAAATCAACAGATTTTAACCAAAAATCTGGATATCAAAAAAGGAACAGATAATAAACGGATATCCGTATAACAAGAAGGAGCGGATTTTAACCGGACATCCAGATTTTATCCGTATACACCCTAGTAGCGTCATGTTTTTAGTTGCTATTTATGGGGTGTATGTACATATTTGCATTTGCTGTTGTTGTTAACCGGCATAGTGACCATGACCAGTGATTGGACTTCCAAAAAAATTCTGTGTGTTAGAATCTGGAAATAAATGTGTAGATTTCAAAAAAATGTGGTAGACCTCAGGTTTTGGATCAACCTTTGTACAAAAATTAAAGAAATTCTGTAAGGTTTCACCTAAATTGCAAACTTTTTAATTAGACTCGAAAAAACATTAAGTTTAGTATAACAAAGTGCTAGATTGAAGTTTCTAAAAATTACATTGAGTTTTGGCAATTTTTTTCTTGACAGTGTAAAGCGGTTTCTTCCATATCCAAATATTTTTCGAACATAAATTTTTTTGCAACCTTGCGGAGTGCTGTCAGCGTTTCATTCTCAGAAACTTTAGATGCACTGAAAATTCATCGCCGCCCGGAATGCGGAATCTTGTATTATATCATTCTTGTTACCATATAGTGTTTAGTGTTGGATAATTTTTGCTCTTAAAATTATGAAAATTATGTCGACCAAAAATAAAACTAGGTACTCAAAAACGCGAATATGTGGTGGTAGATTTCAGACCTTGTGTGGTAGATGCTCAAAACAGGCGGCAGATCTACTACAATGTAGTAGAAGTCCGATCACTGATTATGACTTTGCGAGAATTTAAAAATTAAGTGTGTATGTGGGCACCCCAGTGGGAAAAGGTAATGTTTGGGAATGCAAAAAGTAATGGATAAGCCCTATAAACTACACACGAAAAGATGCGGGAACTTCTCTACAGAAGTGTTATGCGAAAGTAATGTGTCGCATGGCGCTTTACGAAACTATAAATAGAATTAAAAAAATATATAAAAATTAAAAATTTAGTCCGTCCATAGGTTTTGAACGCGTGACCAATAACACAGCGGTCGAACGCGCATCTATTCGGCTACAACAGCTGTTGAGATAACGTTAAAAAAAAAAAACATACTTGAGTTAGTTCGCTTACATTGCGATGCATCTTTTCGTTCAACCGTAGTTGTTAATCATTTCTTGGTAGAAAAAGGTAATGGATTTCCATTTTCCCACTGGGATGCTTTCCTACAGCAGAGAAAGTGTGGGTGTGATTTAGAAAAATATATACATCTACATATCGTCACCTGGGTAAAAGATCGTCGTATGTTAATTACGGCAGGTTGTGGGAAATCGCGATTGATGTTTGGAATGTAATTTCTCAAAACTGCGAAGATAGATTTTCTCCAAAGTCTCTGAAAATGTTACTAGTTCACAAGATTCTTAAAATATTTAATTTTTAATGTTTATTGTTAAATAGTTTATCGAAAAAGTTGTAGACAATATCTCGGAAACTAAAGGAGATAGCTAAAAACTGATAACAACAATCGAAAGACCTTATTTCAAAATATCTAACTGCATCTGGAACTAAAAATCGTCAAAATGGCGCTTACCCAGGCGACGATATGTATCTATAGGTTTATGTAAGCAATATATGCTCACTACTATCCGGTAGTACCTAGGACCGATCCCTGTTACGACTAACATTCAAAAAGGTTTTTTATATTGATCGACCTTCGATAGGCAACGGCAAGTTCGGTCCAGACCCAATTTGTGTTGTTGTTATTTTAGCCCCATAAAAATTCCACAAAGATTCTTCGGAGAATCAGCTGGAGTGACAGAGACTGGTCAGTTATAGACTGGGTAGTTCCGATTACGTATACCCGATTGGCGTGGGAATGCTCTGGAGCCTCTTATTTTATCTGCTAACACGATTCGTTGATATCTTCAAAGCTCTTGGACTTATCGATAAGTCCGCATATGCATGTTACTAATTGTTGTGTCGCCAAATGAACAAAACTATTTTGCGCGAATTTAAGAAA